TTGCTTCTAATCATATACTTTTATTTATAAAATTTTAATATTAATGTACTATTTTATTGTTTTAACCCATCGTTACTCTTAACACATTTAAGGTGATCCAGAATTTCTTGTAACTCAAACACTTTATAACTTTCACTTCTCATCGTGTTGTTTTATACGAACAATCATAAGAATCTTTGGTTGTCTTATTTCTTAAAAGTGTGCACCAAAACTTTCTGTCAATTGCAGGTTGCGTGAAAATGGGAGGTGGTGGCCGAAGCTCTGCTCCAAAACAGAGAAACTCCGGTGAAGATGTGGTTTGGAAGAAGCGTGTTCCACACTAAAAACCACCGTTCAGTCTGAGCAAAGTGAAGAAAGCGATTCCACCGCACTGTTTCGAGCGTTCGGTGGTTCGTTCCTTCTCCTACGTCTTCTACGACCTGGCCATAGCCTCGTGTCTTCTCTACGTGGCGCTAAACTACTTCTCAACCCTTCCCCATAACTTCTCCCTCTTGGCCTGGCCCCTGTACTGGATCCTCCAAGGTTCCGTCCTCACCGGCGTTTGGGTCATAGCGCACGAGTGTGGCCACCACGCTTTCAGCGATTACCAGTGGCTCGATGACACGGTTGGTCTCGTTCTCCATTCGTTTCTTCTCGTGCCCTATTTTTCCTGGAAATATAGCCACCGCCGTCACCACTCCAACACGGGGTCCCTCGAACGCGACGAAGTGTTTGTGCCGAAAACAAAGTCCAGCGTTGGTTGGCATTCTAAGTACCTCAACAACCCTGCTGGGAGAGTTCTCACTCTTGCCATCACCCTAACCCTAGGTTGGCCTCTCTACTTGGCCTTCAACGTTTCGGGTCGGAGCTACGAGCGTTTCGCCTGCCACTATGACCCTTATGGCCCCATTTACTCCGACCGCGAAAGGCTTCAGATTTACGTCTCCGATGTAGGGGTTCTGGCCGTGTGTTACGGCCTCTACAAGCTTGTGTTGGCAAAAGGGTTCCTTTGGGTGGTTTGTGTCTATGGGGTGCCTCTGATGGTGGTAAATGCGTTGTTGGTGTTGATCACTTTCTTGCAGCACACTCACCCTGCCGTTCCTCACTACGATTCCGCGGAGTGGGATTGGCTGAGAGGCGCATTGGCCACCGTGGACAGAGATTACGGGATTCTGAACAAGGTTCTTCATAACATCACTGACACACACGTGGCACATCACTTGTTCTCCACGATGCCGCATTACCATGCAATGGAAGCCACCAACGCTATAAAACCGATTCTGGGAGATTATTATCACTTTGATGGCACTCCTATCTATAAGGCAATGTGGAGAGAGGCAAGAGAGTGCATGTACGTTGAGACTGATGAAAAGTCTAAGAACAGTGGTGTTTACTGGTACAACAATCAACTGGATTGAGTAGAGGTTCTTCAGACTTGAGACAGTTTAGGTTGTTTTTTGTTTTACCTCTAATCATGGTTATGCGTCTTATAGAATCATTTTATGATTAGTGGTAATGTTGGTCGTAGAAAAGGACAGTGTATACTATACTATACTATGTTATGCTGATACGCATGGTGTGTTGAAATCAGCTTTCATATGGCTATTCACTTGATCGTTGGAAAAGCTAATAGTAGCTGGTTTCAGTTATATAGTAATATATTACAGTATATGTAATATAAATACATAATGTAATGAAAAGAAAGTGGAGCTTTTGTTTTTACTTTTGTTCTTCTTCTTTTTGTCTCTGTCATGTTTATAAGTTATTCATACCTCTCAAATTTTTATTGAGGAATTGCGATCATACTATGTTCAGGTTTGAGGAATGTTCTTATCATAAAATAAAGCTAGATTTGTCCATGTTATATATTAAAAGGTTATCTTCTTAAATTTGAAGACTAAGAATAATTTTAAAAGTAGTTTAGAGGACAAGAAACAGAGAGCATGGAAGAAGATACAGAGAAAACAGAGGAAG